TATAACTATTTTCCACTTTGAATAAATAAGGATTCTGTGCGGGTGATATTTTAAGACAATGCCCCCTGGCTGGTGTAGCTCAAAGGATTGAGCGCGGGGGCTGTGAACCAAAGCATCCTAGGTTTGATTCCTAGTCAGGGCACATGCCAGGGTTGCAGGCCAGGTCCCCAGGAGGGGGTGCAAGAGAGGAAACCACACACTGATATTTCTCTCCCTCTCTCTCTCCTTCCCTTCTCTGTAAAAAAAAAAAAAAAAAAAAAAAAAAGACAATGCCAGTATCCATCCACCTCCTCGTCAAAATTTCTTCATATAGTTCACATCCACTGGTGATTTTTGCCTGAACCAATTTTTGTATCTGTATTAGATCAGGCTGCTAGAACAGAATGTCATCACAGACCTTTATTTCTCATTCGTCTGGAGGCTGGAAGTCTGAGGTCAGGCTGTGAGCGTGGTCAGGTTCTGGCAAGAGCTCTTTTCTCTTTGTATCCTCACATGACAGAAAGAAAGACCAAGAGAGAAAGGACTAGTTCTCTTCCTCTTCTAAGGACCCTAATCCCAACATGGGGGCCGTACTCTCTTGACCCAATTACCTCCCAGCTGCATGCCACCAAATAGTATTACATTAGGGCCATAAATATTCAGTCCATACAAACTGCTGCAGTTGAAAAATGGTGATTTTCCAACTCCAGCACTTGAATGGGGGGCCATAAATATTCAGTCCATAGAAAGTACTGTAGTTGAAAAATGGTGATTTTCCAACTCCAGCACTTCTTCAGATCCAAACCCACTCTTCACTGCCTGCTCTGTGAAAATGGATATGGGCCCTTTAAATTTTATGCCTTTGCCAGTTGGCACAATGTGTCACTTTGACAGCAGAGGGCACTGGAGAGACATTGCCGGTGGAATTCCCATTTTCTCACTCGGTAGACCTCCACAGCACGGGTAGCTTCTCGGAGGCCAGGCTCCTGGGAGGTGTGCAGCCTGCCCACTGCCTAGCTTCTGCAGCACAGAGAGCTTCTCTCATGTAGCAACTTCAGGGTCTGTGGCTGCTCCAGCACCAGGTTCCCACAGTTGGCAGCAGCTTCTCCAAGGCCCAGCTCCTGCAAGACACAAGAGCCAACACCACCTCCCAGTTCCCAGCTTCCCCAGCCATCCCCCTGCATAGCAGTTTCATAGCCTAATGGCTCTGGTAGGATACCTCCTATGGAGAGCTGTCCTCCATCACCTCACAGGATGGATCTCCAGCCACTTCACTGATAGGTTACAACAGTAACCTCTCTACTGTTCATCAAACCAGGGCCCTGTCTTCTCTGAGAAGGTCTGGTTCTCAGCCCTAGAGGGACGTCTTCCTTAAGTACTAACCCAGTACTGACTCAGCGCTGGGGCATGGCTGCTTCATAGTCATCCATCCTCTATTCTTTGGAGTTCCTTTTCACTTCCAGAAAATTGAAATATCAGACACCAAAACTATAGAAAGAGCGTTAAAGAAAAAAAAAAACCCTATAGACCAATTCTTCATAAATGTGGATGTAAAATTTCTGAACAAAATTTTAGCAAATTGAATCCAACTGTGTGCTAAAAAGGACAAATATCACGGTCAAGTCACTTATCCAAGGAATTCAAGATTGGTTAAGACTTGAAAATCCATCAGTGTAATTCATCATAATAACAAACTAAAAAAGGAAAAGCATATGATCATCTTGCTGATGCAAAAAGGCATTGGCAAAATCTAAATCCATTCTTGAGTTAAAAAAAGAAACAACTCTCAGTAACTAGGAATAACATGGAAATTCCTCAGCCTAATAAAGGGCATCTGTAAAGACCTACAGCTAACTCTTACAACACAAAACAACCAAAAAAGCCGATTAAAAAGTGGTCAAAAGGACTTAAATAGACATTTCTCCCAAGAAGATATACAAAGGGCCAAACAAGCTCATGTAAAGATGCTCCACATCCTTAGTCACTAGGGAAATGCAAATCAACCCCACAGTGAAGCACCACTTCATAGTCAATACAATGGCTATAATAGTAATAATAATAATAACTCAAAAAGTAGCAAATGAGGTTGTGGATATGGAGAAATTAGAAGCCTCATACATTGCTCATGGGAAGGTAAAGTGATCCAACCACTGTGGAAAACAGTTTGGTGGTTCTTCCATAAATTAAATATTGAATGACTCTATGACCCATCAGTTCTACTCCGGAAATAATTGAAAGCGGGCGTTCAAACAAAACTGTACAGGAATGTTTGTAACAGCACTCTTCACCATCGTGAAAAGGTAGGAACAACCCAAATGCCCATTAGCTCATGAATAGATAAACAAAATGTGGTCTAGCCACACGATGGACTATTACTCAGCCATAAAAAGGAACGAAGGACTGTCACATTCTGCAACATGGATGAACATCATGCTATAGACATCATAACCCTTCACCAAAGACCACCTAGGATTCTGTTTAGATAAAAGGTCTAGAACAGACAGATCGGTAGAGACAAGGAATAGATGAGGACTGAGCCTAGGGTTTGGCAGGAAATGGGGAGTGACCACTAATGGTATTTCTTTCTGAGGTGATGAAAATGGATCACCCAGATCACCCTTTCTGAAATGGATTGTGCATATACTAAAACCCATCAAATTATACACTTTAAATTGGTTAAATACTGGGCACATGAATTCTATCTCAATAAAAATGCAATATAATATAGAAAAGTGCATACACACACACACACACACACACACCCCAGGAAGGCAACTTCTGCAGGTCTTAAATAGTTTAGGCCTCACTTTAAGTTTAGGTGAAGTGAGATGTAAAGAGAAGAGTTGTGGCCCAATTTAATGGGTGAGAAACCAAGCTACGCAGAAACTTAAGATCACATAGCTAGCGCAGGATAGAAGCCAGAGTCCAGCCCAGGAAGTGGACAGCAGAGCTTGGGTCCTTGCTCTAAGAAAAGGTAGGATGGAGAACAATCCACAGCTGAGAATCTCGGTGAGATTGCTCCCTTTTTAGCGCCAGCTCCACAGTGCTCATCAGAAAGCACTCATCACTTGGGTGCCTACCATCTGTTTAATAGACATCACAAAGTCTTGGTTTCAGCAATTTCTAGAGTGAAATTCAGGACAAAGCAATCCCTTTAAAGATTTTTCAGCATGCAGCTCTCCTTCAGAAAAGTGCTGTCTTGTCTGCCTACGTGAATACTCAGCCGAGAATGATAAGCTAGAAGGCCCTCTGACATAGTGCCTGAATGCCAGCGCAACCTGTGCAGACTCAGAAAAGACGTCCATATGTAGGCTCTTTTGAACGTTCACGACTACCCACAAATTTAATACATTTAATTCCGCAGACTTCTATCTCACATTTCTGTGCTGTAAGTATAGGGTTTTGTTGGTTGAGCCCTCGTTTTTATCTGATTATCCGATGAATACAAGGACCCAAATCTTTCTGCATTTTGGACTATTTCCAATCCCCCCATCCCCCTCCATATATGAAATGATCCCATGTCAAAGGGTGTGAATATTTTTAAAGGCTCGTGAACCTCATTGCTAAATTGCTTTGCAAAAAGGTTGAACCAATTCACACCCCCACCAGCAGTGGATGAAAATATATTTAAATGCAAATTCCAAACTGCAGAGAGGCTCCTGCTTGGATATTTCACTTACATTTCTTTAATGCTAAACAAAAACTGACCCAGGATGTTTTAAAAAAAAGTGATATAAAAATGGAGCAGATAGTTAAAACAGCTTAGGTAGAAATAAGCTTTAGAAAGGCCCAAGCAGGATGGTAAAAATTTTAAGGCTTCCTCCCAAGAAGCCCAATTCTGACGGGACCATTAACAATTTGGCTTAAATTAGGATAGCAGCTGCCAAGAACGTGGGGTGTGGTCAATGTACCAAATTCCAGTTTAGAAACAACAGAGTATTTTATTTATTTATACTCCAGTATACGTCACGGTCTAAAGACCGTTTAAGATACCTAAGAGAAGTAGCATTGTGTCTGAGTAATCAATCTTATGAAAATGAACAAACCCACGCCCCTTGAACTACTGGCAGGTCTTATCTCTTCCGACACAGGACGCCTCGCCTCTGTAATCTGAGTTCAGTCCGCAGCCACAAGTGCCCCCCCTACTTTTAATAATGGGGTACAGTGATTTTAGGGGGCATGAAGGTGGGGCAGGCAAGGGAAAGCCTAGACGGGGCTCTGCACAGTCCAAAAGGTGCTGGACCTCCACCGTCAGCCGGGATCCCCTTCTGCCAGTTTCTCGGGGAGCCTCCCGGTCCCCGCCGGCGTGTCTTCCAAGACTTCCACGCCCCGCTCCCACCAGAAAAAGCTGACTCCGGAGGGGGAGCCAGAAACTCGATCGTGCCCCTTTCCACTTTCTCACTTTTGTTCTTCCTTTCCCACTGCCTCTCCCTTCTTCCCTTGCCTTTCTTCCCCGCGTCTTCCCTTCTCCCTCCTCCACGCCTCCTCCTCCTGCCTCTTCCCCTTGACCGACCCCGGGCCCCCTCTGCCTCCTCTTGGGGCGGGAGCTCCCCTCTACTCCCCCTCCCCGCCTTTCTTCTCCGCTTCCTCCGCTCGCGGCCCCGCCCCCAGCCAATCAGCGCGTCGCGCCCCGTGGCCCCGCCCCCCGGCGGTTCCGGGCGGGCCGGACCGAGCCCAGGCCAAGGGTGCGGAGGGCGGTGCCGCCGCGTTGGGGGCGGATGGGGCGCCGCGGGCGGGCGGCGCGAGCGCGGGGGTCGCCGGGACGCGGGCGTTCGCGGCTGTGAAGGGGCCAGACGGGCGCTGCGGCCCGCCCGGGATGGGCCAGCCCGGGCCTGGCGCGGCTGAGCCGGAGGGGCGAGCGGCGCGCGGGCCCGGCCTGCGGGGCGGGCGGCCCGGGGGCTGAGGCAGAAGTGGGCGCGGAGGAAGGGGCCGAGCCAAGGCGGTGGGTGGAGCGGCGAGGGGGGCGGAGGCTGGGCCGCGGCGGGCGAGCGGAGCGGCGCGCCCGTCCGGAGCTCGGCGGCGGCGGCGGCGCCTGAGGAGGCTGAGCGAGCGGCGGCGGGCCCGGACGAGAGCCGGAGGTGGCGGACGCGGCGCCGGGGGCCCCCATGGGCGGGTGTGTGGGCGCCCAGCACGACTCCTCGGGCAGCCTCAACGAGAACTCGGAGGGCACCGGAGGTAGGTGAGCGCCAGGGGGCGGCCGCGGCCCCCCCATTGTTCCCGGCCAGGCCCGGCCACCTGTCCCGGCCCCTGCGGGCCCGCGGGGAGCGCGGCCGGGGCCCCCGCGCCCCTTTGTCGTCCCCTCCTCCACGTCACGCCCCGCGCCCCGTTTCCGGCCGCCCCGCAGGCCGCGGGGTCGCCCCAGTCTCTGCCCGGCCCCCGAGGAAAGTCCTCCGTGCGCAGGGGACACGGCCCCTCGGCCTCGCGACCGCATCCCCTGGGCCCGGGAAACTCGGGCGAGAAACTGCCTCCCTGGCCTCCTCCCTCCCTTCCCAGCGCGTTTAATTATTCAGGAGCAGGATGGCGGCGCTGGGGCTGCAGGAAAGCGAACCGATGGGGGGCTGGGGAGGGGAGCCGAACGCATTCCCTCCGGTGGGCCCCGCCACATCTCTCCGCACCCTTCCTTGTTCCGCGGAGTTGGCTGCTCTCAGCTTTCCTGAGTTTCAGATGACAGCTGCCCTGGTTGGTTCCAGTTTGGCCATTTAAACCTGCAAGTTTTGGAGCCCGGTCGGGGAAGTCTCCGGTGGCCACAGGCATTATTTTCACGAGGGGTGGGGAATCAGGCTGCCCGAGGAAAACGTGGCTTCCCGCGGCTGCACGGGGGTGTCGGGCCCGCTGGCCTTCGGGGTGGGCTAGTCAAATTCCTCTCGGTCTTACGTAAAGGAAAATGTGTAGGATGAAAGTGCAAATACAACAGGAGAGCCCGACTTCCCAGCAGGATCGGTACCTTAAAAGTTTTCCAACAACGGAGCGCACTTCTTGATCGTATTGCCGAGGAAAGGTATTTTAATTCAGTCGGCTTTGGAGGACAGCAGTATAACAATACAATTAACCCTGCCTTTCCTTCAGCGACCTTTTACCGGGTTCATTCTGTGTAGCTGGTGTGCGGGTCAGAATGTTGCAGTTCAGGCAGCAGGAGCTTCTGGGAATAGCGAAGGTGACATGCGGGGTGGGATCTGTTGCAAACTCATGTCAAGCTGTGGGGCTTATTTATAAATTCCTAAATTAAATTGTTTGGAGATAAAAAGGGTTTACAACTTTTTCTTATGCTAAAAGTTGTTGCTTGCTCTGTCACTCACGCTCCATCTAGAGCTCCTCACTTTTGGTGGGTGGATTTCCTGAGGGTTAGTTAGCCTGGCCACTTCATTAACATCTATGGGTGTCCCGTGTGACTAAACCCCGGGCACGTAGCTGGAAGCTCCATGAAACGTTTCTTGAAAAAACCGTCCATGAAAACCGCTACTTTATAGTGCTTGTCAAGTCATGGCATTCTTTCTGAGTGGCATATTAACAGTGAGATCCTCAGTGACAACAAAGGATGAAAAGGGCGTGATTTATTTAAAGACATTTTACTTATTTATTTTTACAGAGAGGGGAAGGGAGGGAGAAATGGAGAGAAACACCAAGATGCTGGTCAGCGCTAAAAAGGGCATGATTTAAAACAGCCTTGGGTTAAGGTCAAATTGGGGGTCACAGTGATTCTTCCTGCTGTGGAGGTGATCCTTAACGGTACCCAAGTACATTAGTGCTTGTTTTAGGTGGTGTTTAGTTTACATTGTTTCACACTCAAGTTAAAATTCTCATAAACATTTTCTTTCCTTGGTAATGAACTGGAGCCAATTTATTTAAGCCTTTTGGTGGTGTGGCTTAGGACCAGCCAGGCATTTTAGTGCGGGCTTTTAAAAGCATGAAGTCTTCGCTTTTGGTAATTTATCACCAGTGATGTCTAGTCAGATAGCCGTAGTATCGGTTTCTTTGAGAACTGCGTCCTCCGGACCTTACCCTGTGCTATACCTTCCCGAGTTTAGAAAAAAGAAACATAAACTCCTTTTATTTTCTTCTGGAGAGAAGGCATGGCCCTGATGTCGCTGTGTTGGGTAAAAGGGTTGTTTCTGAAATGTAATTATGGAAGCCTTTATTCTCCGTTACTGTCATGATAGTGAAGAGTTAATTGTGGTTTAAAGGAATTAGTTCAGGTGAGTGTTTCAGGTTAACAAGTTACATAGTTCTTGTTTATTACAGTAGGTTTTTGTTGGGCAGGGAAAGACTTTTTCCTGAAGGTGTTACCGCAGTCCCTTTGCCTTTCAAACATGCAGTAGTGGTTAGTAGTTGTAATCTGGATGTTGGGTTATGAAAATTCCTTTTACCAATATGGCGTAAAGTACAGTTGTCTGTATTCTCATGACATACTTAAGATTTTCATGACAGATGTAATTACATTCACGGTGTCATGCAAACATCACCATAGAACGTCAAATAAGTGTGTGTATATTGAGAAAAACTTCCTTACTAGGTGGATTACTTGTTTGAAGGAATTTGGGAAATCTTTGCAAAAGACTGTAGATGCGGAAATGATTTAATTCACATAAGGTTTGTGTTATCTGGAGTCAATTGTAGTGTCTTCCGCTGGCATACCTTGCCTAGAATTTAGTTTCTGAGTTCAGCTACTTTGGCTATTCTTGAATGCCTAATTTTAATCAAGACAGGTATATTATAGTAGATTACTTAACAGTTCTCTTGTAGCTTTCATGCTTCTAGCATTTTCTGTTGTTTTGACATTTTTAGAAAGCACAGTTCTGAACAGTTCTTTTCCTTACTAGGGCGACTTTGTGATGCTGGGGTTGTCACCTCTAGACAAGGTTTTAGCCCGTGGCATTTGCTAAGGAATTACTCTCTTAGGGTTTTTTAAAATACAAAATAGGTGGAGAAAAAGAATAAAGTGAAATTAATTGAAGACAGCCAGCTTCCTTCTTACTTTGTTCTCTTTACCAACCATAGTGATGTCCAAAGGTTTTCACTTTCTGGGCGTGTCACTGATTTCCATGTTCTGTGATATTCTAAGGAGACCAACCGTGGTGGTCACCAGTTTCCAGGAGGATCAGTCTGAGTACTGGTGATTCATTTCTTTATTTCAGAATGTCTTTTTAAAAAATTATTTTTATTTCAGAATGTCTTGAGAATATCATGAAGTTCTTTTGAATAGCCATTTATAAGCAGCCTTACAGACACCTACTTGATGAGTAACTGTCTTTTTTGGATAATAATAGCTCCCATTAATCCAGTGTTTATTGTGTAACAGGTACTGCGCTAAGTGAGTACTTTCTCTCATTTAGTCTTCAACACTTCTGGGAGGTGGATAATATCTCTATTTTAGAGATGGCGGAAGCCAGGAGAAATTAAATAACTTTTTTAGTAAGACATATTGGATAAATGGCAGAACTTGAACTCAGGGCTGTGCTAAGAAATGCTAGTTTCTGCCTGGGCTGGAGTGGCTCTGTGGATTGAGCGTCTGCTTGGGAACTGAAAGGTCGCTCACTGGTTTGAGTCCTGGTCAGGGCACATGCCTGGGTTACAGGCCAGGTCCCCAGTAGGGGCATGTGAGAGGCAACCATTTGATGTTTCTCTCTCTCTCTTTCTCCCTCCCTTCCCCTCTCTCTAAAAATAAAACCAATAAAATCTTTAAAAAAGAAAAAGTGCTAGTTGTTTCCCTAGTTTCATTTTTTAACTGTAAAATATAAAATTTGCCATATTTAAACCTTTATCAGAAATATGATCTGCAGATATTTTCTCTCATTTTGTAGGTTGTCTTTTCACTTTCTTGATGGTGTCTCTTGATGCACAAGTTTGCAATTTCAGTGAAGTCCAATTTAGTTTTCCATTTGTTACCTTGTGCTTCTGGCTTCAATTTTAAATCCATATGTATGTATTTAATTCTTCACTGATGGAGAAAGAACAAATCTATAGCCAGTTATTCACAACTCTTAAGTAACATTTGCCATCTTAACTGTGAATAAAGAGTTGCTTTAAGTTTATTTCCTCTGTCTAATCTGGTAAAAAGGTTGATTAGCAGTGAAATGGGGTTTGAAATGTTGACAGAAGTAACTTATAAACCCACTTCAGCATCTTCTTAATCAAGAGACGATTGTTGTATTTTCTAGGGAAGCATTTTACAATCAACAGACATTGAATACCCACAATATGCCTAGTGAATTGGTTGCTGTTGTTCCAAAAAAAAGAAATCATGGTCCTATTTCTTCTGTCAAAATTGATTTTAAGGAAGGCATAATAGAATATGTACACATAAAACAACTATAAAACACTATATAGACGTATAAAAACATCATAGGATAAACCGTGAAAGCGCCAAAGGTAAAAAAGACGACAGAAGGATCTCAGTTGCTCAAAGGTGTGAGGCACAGTCCTTCAGCCAACCAGCAGCATGAGCATCACCTGGGAGCAGGTTGGAAATGCAGAGTGTCGGGCCCCAGTCCTGGCCACCAAGTGAGAGTCTGCATTTTAACAAGGCTCTCAGGTGATTCTCATACACATTCAAGTTTGAGAAGCACTATTGTCGGATTGCTTACAGTGGGAAGAGATTAGAGTGAGGAACCCATTAAGGGGGCAAATGGCACCAGTTGGTTTATTGGATGTAGAAACATAGAGGAGAAGAGAAAAAATAACCCCAAATTTTTTAACCTGGATGACCAGGAATATTGAGGAGGCTTGGCAGGTCTTGGGGAATAAGAAAGAGCAGTCTGGGAGAGTCCTCGTTCAACTTTCAGTATGTTAAGGATTAGTGGACAGAAGACCTTTTAAGTTGCCACATTATTTGGGGTGGTGCAGGGGTTCAGATCTGGTAGAGAACTCGGAGATGTTCGATTTTGGGGTCACCTGGGGGAGGCTGACCGAAGGTTCGAAAGTGAACGACTGCTATAAATGAGTGGAAAAAGAAGGAAAGTGCCAAGAATTTAGCCACGAAACTTTCGTGAAAGGTGGAGAAGTGAGAAATCACTTCTCAGGGCCTGACCGTAGTAGGTGCTTCGTGTACTGAATTTGGTTGAATTATTGGGAAACAGGAAAATAGGCCTGACTGTGAAATTCATAGATCTGATTGTGTTTGAAAAAAACTCTCCTTATAATTTCAGAAAATAATTCGATTTTGTTAACTAATCGATTGT